TCCCCATTCCAGTTCTCCATTTCATTGCGCTCCACTCCACACATGACCTTGACTGCAAACGCATGTTTGGAACACAGAGGCTCCGGTGGAGCAGGATATCCTTCACAAACAACGCGTCAACAGCAATGACCACGCTTGCAGATCATGGTCGCTGATCAAACATCTGCCTCGGCGGTAATACAACGACAAGGTTGTAGACGCTTTTGAGACCGTTCACTTTCCTCCATTTCAGCACTCGCAGACAAGCAGCTACAACTACCATCATGACGCTAGGTTCCTCCTTGCGTACACCACTCGCCCTTCTCATTGGCACGATCCTGCTCGCAACAACTTCCGTTGTTCACTCTCTAGATCAAGTCCAGGAAATTGAGCTGGATCCGGATGTCGGCAAGTCCACCGTAGCGCTTATCGAAGCGCGTGGGTACGTGACGGAGACTCACAACGTCACTACAGCTGACGGGTATATTCTCACCATGCACCGCATTCCCAAGTCGTACGGGGAGAGTCAAGCAGGAGAAGACGCTGCCAAGGGCAAACCTGCCGTCTTGATTCAACATGGACTGCTCGACAGTAGCTTTTCGTGGGTCTGCAACTTCCGTAACCAGAGTCTTGCCTTCGTACTCGCTGATGCTGGTTACGATGTCTGGCTTGGTAACAACCGCGGCAATACGTACTCCACCGGTCACGTCAAGTACACCACCGCAGATGACGCGTTCTGGGACTTTAGTTGGGAAGATATGGGCCGCTTCGACTTGCCAGCTATGCTCAATTACGCCCGAGAGACATCAGGACAGAAGACAGTAGCTTATGTAGGCCACTCAGAGGGCACAACACAAGCTTTTGTTGCCTTCTCCGAAGACCAGACGCTTGCCCAGACAGTGTCGTACTTTGCTGCTCTAGCACCCGTGGCTTGGTTGGGAAACACCAAGGCCGATGCTCTCAAATTCTTGGCCAAAGTGTACTTGGACAAGATCTTCGAGGTCTTCGGTCAGGTCGAATTCCTGGCACAGAACCAAGTACTGCAAGAAGTTATTGAAGCTGCAACATGCACAGCGAACCCCGAACTTTGTCAGACTGCTCTGGCGCTCATATCTGGCGTGTCCGAAAACTGGAACTCGTCTCGAGTGAGTGTATACCTCTCCGAGATGCCTGCAGGAACTTCCGTCAAGAACATGGGCCACTTCGCACAAAGTATCCGCAAAGGCACTTTTGCAGCATACAACTACGGCTGTGGCTGTCTTCGTATTCTTGGGATCAAACTGTGTTCTAAACACATCTGTGAGAACAAGGTCAAGTACGGCAGCTTCGATCCGCCAGCTTTTCCTGTCAGCAGAATGATGTACCCTCGAACGGGTTTCTTCAGTGGTAAGAACGATATCTTAGCCACTGCGACTGACACTAACCAACTCCGAACTGCGTTACCAAACACCACAATTATCCACGACGAGGAGATCAGCAACTTCAGCCACTTGGACTTCACGTGGTCAGTAGATGCCAATGAAAAAGTTTACCAATCTGTACTGAAACAACTCGATCAGTACAAGGGCATCGGATACTAAATTCGTACAACCAACGTGCAAAAACGTACTAAGCATAAGAATCAAACCACAATTTCTATCGGTAAATAGTCCTCCGTTCAATATCTAGACGATCAAGTCGTCGTGTCCTGCAGTTCTTGCCAATTTCTGCACTTTCGAGACTTCGTTCCTGCGGTTGAATTTGGTCAAAATCGAGATCAAATCTTCGTACATTTCCACCTCAAACCGCGGCGTCTCTGGCTGCAAGCCTTGATGAAGTAGAGAAAATGTACGCACAAACTCTGAAATTTCAGTTTCTGACTGACATCGCACCATCAATTCGCGCAACTGCTCCGACGAGAGCTGGAATCCCTCGCATTCCATGTTGTACGCGATGTGCAGTGTGCGTTCAATTAATCCGATCTGGGTGCCCAAGTCGATCAGCGAGACGTACAAGCCTTCCGGGATAGCCAAGTTTTCTTGACTTAACTCGCGGAATAGGGCGAAGCACGTATCGATGCCACATGAACCATAAAGCGCGTTGATAACGTAGTCAAAGAAGACCTTGTCTGCAGCGACATCCATAGTAGCCATGTCTCGGAGGACGCCCACAACAGCTTTCAAATCGCCATGAGACGCTTGGATGAACGCAATTGTCGTAAACGCCTTGACATCCAGGACAACCCCATGCATCTCCATCGCATCAATCAGAGCGACAGCGTCGCCTACGAGACGTCGGCGCATGCAGATAGACAATAGCGACGTGAAAACCTGCAGATTCGGAGCCAATTTCCACTCCAGGAACACATCCATTAGACTGAACACCTCCTCAATCGAGGCGTCGCGATGGTTCTCTACCATCTCCAGCATCGTGATGTGGTCCGGTACAATGAACGGGTTGTTCAGCATCTGCGAGAAGAGCTCCTTAGCTTGCTCAGATTTACCCGTAGCGGCCAAGCAACCGAGTGCATCGTTGTAGTTCTCCACCTCCAGCATCCAGGCGCCTCCAAGCTCCTGTTCCGTCGTGGATACCTCTTCCAGTACTTCTTCCAGGAAGGTCGCATCCAGGTGCTCATGACAATAACGAATCGCTGATCCAAAACCACCACTGCGACCTACACCTCGAGCTGCCATCCCGCGGAATGCATCCTTCAACATGGAGAAGTCCTGGAGAGCCATACACGCCTTCATCACGTTGACGTACATGTTCTCATCTACAGGGATCACCTTATCAACAACTTTAGTCTTCTCTTCGGCGTTATCAGCCACACTATCCGTCCTCAAGTCGTCACGACCAATTATCCTCTCGCGCGTGCTCTCCATCGTTGAATAGCAGTGCAACGCCAGTGAAAACTCCTCCAGCGTCACGCAACACTGTATTGCGGCGCCAAAGCCTTGTTCCAACTGCAATCGCTTAATCCTGTCCAAATTGTTGCCATATGTACGCACACTTCCATCCACGTAGTCTAAAAACGTGCGTACGATTTTTCTGGGAGTCACTTTTGCCTTCACACTCGCTTCAAATAACGCCAGAAATCCTTGTTGCTGGAAATCTCTGGCTGCATCGAACTCTGGGTGCGTGAAATATTCCGCCGCAAGACTCAGCCCCTGTTTGTACTCTTTCTTCTGCACCATCTTGGTCATCAAATGCCCCACAACGGACGGTGGCATCAGTGGCTCCAGGGAACTCAAACCCAATTCATTTTCTCGAATTTCAGGCCATAGTTTCTGATGATACAGCAGCAATTCGTGACCCGCCGTGGTCATCTTAATGTTGGCGCATCCATTGATCACTCCAACCAATACACGCGCCACAAACTCTGGTCCATATCTTTTCTTCAACTGACCCAAAAGCTGGTAGATCTCTTCTTTACGGAACCCACGCGACGAACGTTGCCGTAATACCGTAAATAACAGATCCGTCCATACGGGTTCGCTAGCGTTTTCCCGTGCGAAATTGGCTACGAGCCCCAGCAGCTCGGCGGCGCCCCGTTCGTCCCGCTTTTCGAGCCGACGCTGCAACGCCACGTTCCACGCCGACGGGTCTGTAGCCGCCAAGAGCGTTGTTTCGTCCTTGCAGCGCAGCGCCCGACAGGCGAATACGAAGCTGTCCGAGGTCGTCTTATTGGACAATAAAACGTTGATCCGCTTGTCTTCGAGCCGCAAATTGGGCATACGATTTGCGGTACGAGGCGAGAAGGAGCGCGCTCGCGCCTGCGAGGACGCCGCACGCCGGCACACTCGACGCAGCATCTTGATCTGGTCGTCAAGGGTTAGAGTGACGTACGGCTATGAAGCGCTGATAAATATTTATGTTCCGCTACGTAAATACGTGTTCAAAACATTGTGAACATAAAGTTCATGTACAGCACGCAAACCGGATGTCACCGACCATAATCACTTGAAGCTGACCCCCTCCTTTGACCATGGCGCCTCGCTTCGCGTTCCGTGCAAGGTACCGCTCTACAACGTCCATATTACCTCTCTAACGCTGTATAGCTGTATTCTAACTGTCTGTGTGGATGCAGCAAGTTTCGTAATGTGGAATGCAAGCGCCTGTCGACCTATGACCAGCTGCAGGTGTCCCCGGACGGCACCGTGTTGGCCGCCACATCCTCCAGCTTCGCCTTCGCTCATCAGATGGACAATGGAGGAGCGGTCCAAGTAAAGCCGCTAGCTCAGACTGGAAAGGAGGCTCCTAATACGCCTCCACTAGTTCGTGCTCACCCTACGGGACGCATTACGGCGCTGAGCTTCTCGCCGTTCCACGAAGACCTACTGCTGTCCGCGGGGGACGCCAATGCAGCGGTGAAACTCTGGAAACTACCGGGTAGTGAACCCATGACGGACGATCTGGTGACGCCCTTGGCGTCATTCCAAGAGACTCAAGGGATCGTAGCGGGGATCGTGCCACATCCGTCCGCGGACTCGGTAGTCGCCACGTACTCGAGACCTGGATCACTGAAAATCTATGACTTAGAGGCCGAGAAGTTAAGCTTTGAAGTAGCAGTGGAGGGAAGTGCAGTGATGAGTTCGGCAGCGTGGAACTGGGACGGTAGTGCCATGGTGGTGGCTACACAGGATCAAGCGGTGAGGGTCTTGGACCCGAGGGTGGAACAGCTCTCAGCACCGGTTATTGAAGCTGCACATACTGGAAAGAGACACCTGAGTGTGGTCTGGTGTGGACGTACGCAGCACTTTGTGACGTGTGGGAGTGACCGTATGCAAGAGCGAGAACTAAAGCTGTGGGACCCACGACAATTGGCCAAGTGCGTGCATCGAGAGCGTCTGGATGCCGGTAGCGTGGGCCAGTTGTTCCCATTATATGACGCAGATTTGGACTTGTTGTATGTACTGGGCAAGGGAGACCGCAGTTCTCGACTGTTCGAAGTGGACTTGGCGCGTGCGCCTTATGTGCACGCACTGGACCATAGCGTACTGGGCAGTATGACGCTTGCGGCAACGCTATTGTCGAAAGCGACGTGTGATACGAACGACTGTGAAATTGCGCGTGTTTTGAACCTCAGCGCGAGTGGTAGCAGCGTTGCTGGAAGCTGCGAAGTTGTGAGCTATCGAGTGCCTCGCAAGGAGGCAACACACACGTTCCAGAGCGACTTGTATCCGGATACATTGGCGAATGCAGCTGCAATGACATCGTCGGAGTGGCAACAGGGACGCAACGCTGAGCCCAAGTTGCAGGCAGTGCAGCCTACAGCTAAGGTTGCCGAGGATATGAGCGGTAGTGTGTTTGGCAGAACTTCTGCACCGTCCGGTTGGGGTACACCAGCTTCAAGTGCTGGGGCGACGACCAACGGGTGGCAAACTTCTGGTTGGGGGCAGTCACTGTCGTCCACGGCGTCGTCGAATGCTCCGTCGAAAACTGCGTCCGATGTCAAGACGGGATGGGCGTCGAGTACAAGGAAGTGGAACGAACCAGAGCCCACGGCTCAAAGTGCTCCTCCTCCGCCAGCGCAGTGGAACTCTACCGACACAACGGCATCCACTGCACCCCCGGCGCCTTCGTCGAAATCCACCGAAACACCTGAAGAGATTCCAGCACCAGTGCCAGCAGCTACAGTATCGGATGTGTCGTCACCAGCAGGACCAACGAGCATTACCGATGTGGTGGAGCTTTCGGACAAAGCGCAGCGCTTGGGCGCCAAATACGGACACAAGCTCAAGTATTTGCAAGGTAAAGAAGCTCCACGCAACGATGTCTTCCACTTCGGTGACAAGCGCGTCGTGTTCTCGACTCAAGCCTCTCCTGTGATTGCTGCCAACGCAACGTTCTGGGCGGCGCCCATTGCAGGTGCCGGTGGGCCTGTACTGGTGGAGAAGCTTGGTGCGACAGGGAAGGCACAGCACCGGGCTGCACCCGTGATCAACGGACAGAAAGCCGAAGTGTCGGCACTCGCGTTCAACCCGTTCAACGATCACGTGCTCGCGACTGGATCTGCAGATTCTACTATCCAACTTTGGTCTCTCAAGTCAGACACATCTAACGGTGCAGGTGAACTCACGCAGACGTTGTCAGGGCACACCAAGGGTCTTCGATCTCTTCAGTTCAACCCGACAGCGGCCGATGTGCTCTGCTCTTCAAGTCACGATCTCTCGCTGCGTTTCTGGGACATTGAAGCAGGCCAGGAGAAGTTGCGTCTGGACGGGAAGCTGGACGATATCACGTGGAACATGGCATTCAGTCCCGACGGTGCTCTGTTAGCCACTGCTAGCCGCGCCAAGATCGTGCGAGTGTTTGATCCTCGTCAGTCTGAGCAAGCGTTGGTTGCGATGGGCTGCGGATACGAAAGCAACAAGCCGCAGTTTGTCACGTGGGCAGACTCCTCACGGCTACTAACAGTAGGTGTGAACACACGCAACGAGACGCAGGTGAGCTTTTGGGACTCGCGTAACTTGCTGGAGCCTCTGGATGTTCCCGTGATGGTCGAGCCGGCAGCTAGTGCGGCGAGCACCACGACTCCGATCCCGCTGTACGATGCCAGTTCGCATCTGCTCTTCCTCATCGGCACGGGCAGTCGACACATCTGGAGTTACGAAGTTGATCCAGTGGCTGCTACGGTGCAAGCAAACCTGCCGTTCATGATAGCCGGTACCGACACTATCGGTGGTGTTGCTCTTCTTCCGAAAACCACCTGCAATATCCGCGACGTTGAACTGGCGAGGTTGCTTGTAGCAACGCCGAATGTTGTGCAGCGCGTGTCGTTCTCGCTTCCACGAGCTGAGAAATTGAAAGAATTCTTCCAAGACGACGTCTTTGGCTTGGTACCCAAGCAGGAGCCGTCAGTGACTGCAGCACAGTGGTTCATGGGCGAGACTGGCGCTCCGGTTTACGAGTCCCTTCGACCGGATGGTACGATTGATGCACAGTGGCAACATGATCCATTGCTGACCCATTTTCTTGCTTGTAACCTTCAGGTATGGTGGCACTGTCCGAGAAGCCCAAAGACTCGGCACCTGTGCGACCCAAGACGTTGGATTTCCAGGCGCGCAAGAGGGAAGAAGAGGAGAAAGAGCGACAGAAGGCTGCTCAGTTCGCTCGGCTCAGTGTAAGTCACCATGTTGTTGCGAGTTCCGATCTATGGCATCGAACTAACTTGGTACATTGTTGCTGCGTAGACTCTTGCGGCTCAGCCGTCTCTGCATTCCACGCACCATACTGGAGCCAATCCACGCGCACCTCAAACTGTAGAGGTCGATAGCGACGATGATTGGGACGACTAAAGTGTTGGACGACGGGCCCGTACACAGACTAGAGAACTCGCTCTCATCACCACAGACTCGGCAATTTTTGATTATACTTTACAACTCCAGCCGCAACAAACGAGCACGTGTTGTATCACCTCCGTCTCTCCCCAATAGATAACTTGGCGTGGTTATCCGCTTGCACACAACCACGCCGATACTACGTAATCCTAAAAGACTGTCGCTGACTACCGCACAAAACTCTCATGAAGTCTTCGACATACTCGCGTAAAATACTTCGGCCCCTGTCTGGATACTAGCTCAACCTCCTTCGCTACAGTATCAGTCGAGATCTACAGAGCGAACCAACTAACCATTAGAATCACAACTAAGTAGCGAGATCTCATCATGAAACATACCTGTCCGTAAGGCACCTGCACAGTCGTTTGGTAGTCCGTGTAGGGGAAAACAGGAAGAAGCGAGAAGCCAACACAAAACTGAGCACCCTCGACGTCTATCCGCGAAGCCACCGAAGGAAAATTGAGAAAATCGACCCAGAGCGTGCTATCCTCTTCGTCGTACCGCATGGAAAAGTGCGTCGACAATTCCCGCAGCTCCTTCAATAACCGGAACGAGCGACTGATGAAATTCTCCAGCACTTGCAACTTTGAGCATATCCGGCCATCGATTCCATCTCCCAACTCGGATTCATCCGCTATTCGAGATAAATAGTGCGGATCCAGCAGTAGTCGCTGCAACACGAGCACCACATCGCCCTCATAGGGAAGGTACGTGTTGCCTGTTCTCCTCTTGAGAAGTTCATTGGTTTTGATCGAAGTTGACGCCTCGCTCGCTGAAAGGGACCCTAGATGGACATCCACGCAAATCTCGACATCGAACAACACGTCCTCCAAGCGAGCGCTAAGCCGGAGAATCGACGCTGTAGCCTCCCGAATTTTCCACACACTTAAGCTCTCCTGGATCGCCAGCATCTCCTCCGTTGCTAGTACTTCCTGTCCAAAGAGTGTTGCTGCTTCTGAAGTCACAGGCTCCAGTTCCGCCGCTCGTCCCTCAAGCACCTTTAAGCGACTCTGCAACACTGATTCCTCTAACGATAGCGACGAGCATTCCTTCTCCAGACCCTTCACGGCCTTCACATACTCGTCATGCGCTCCTTGTTGCTCCTCGATTGCATCCAGAAGAAGAGCCATTTGTTCTTCACGATCGATCATTACTTTGATAGCTGCAAGCTCATCCTGGCGCTTCAACGCATCAGCAGCCACACTGTCCTTCAGGGATTTCACATCAGTTGACAGCGCATTTGCACCGATAGATAAACTGCTGGTGAGCTGCTTTTCCATCTGCGTCTGTAGCTGACACCAACCGGTTCGAGCGACCAGAGTCTCAGTAGCATACAGCGCTTGAATCGCCTCCCGACCAGCGTCATCAAGATTTTCCGGGCTGAAGACTGCAGGAGCTTTGACGTGAAGCGAAGTCGACAGCTCTTCAGTCACAGCAGCAGACCACGACGATACGTCTTGGACATGACGTTCTATCACCGCTGAGCAGGTATCGTGGGCACAAGCCAGCTTTACATCCTTCGAGACTTGGCTGTCAGACGACTCAGCTTCGTCTCCAAAAAAGGCTCCAGCAGCTTCCACTAACGTGCTCTCTTCGTTCAGTACAACGGACGACAACAGCTCTTCCATAGTAATCAACTGAACAGGACGAGACTCGGGCGTCAGTGGTCGTCGAGGACTTTGACTGGGCTCACTGACTCGGTCAAACTGCGATTTGAGATTCACCTGGAGCGATGCCCGTTTGGCAGCATATTCGTCGTCACTTTCGTCCGATACAAGACTCATGTTACTTTGGTTTCGTGAAGAAGTCATCGTATCATTCGCCTCCATTGTAGCGTCTTGGTCGTTCGATTGCTGCGTGTGATTACTTTGACCAGCAACTTCGTTAGCCAGGTCACCCAGAGATCCAGGCAGATCATGTAGGTCAGAGTCAGGCGCTGACTTGGTCAGCTCGTAGACGGAAGATTCCGCGAGAAGATGCCCCAAACTAAACTCCGCAGTGTCTTCGTCGCGCGGTAGACCAGTAAATGACTGCGACTGCTTTCCCGCAGCGTTACTGTGGCCTAGTCCGATAGAATAATCCCCCGTAATCTCCATGTCCTCTCCAGCGTCTGAAGATGCGGATGAGTCTGCGTAAGGCATACACACTGGCTGAGCTACGGCTGTCGGACGTAAAAACGAGTTGTTGTTTGCCGTGAACGAAGACTGAGAGCTGGTAGTCGGCTTTTCGGCAGTAAATGACGTTGTTGTGGTGGTCTCCGAGGCTTGGCGTGTAACGTTGATGGTCTGACGCCTGCGTCGTCGAATTTCAGCACGAGAATCAAGAGGACTAAAGCCCCGCATGCTGTGTCGTCGTTGACTTTTGTCGGTCGATTTCGGTGCCATTAGACTGCTTCTCCGTGACTGCAGCAGGTCAAATCCCGGCTTCTTGAGCTGCGTAACCTTGCGCACATTGATTTGTTTCGGCTCTTCCTCATCAAGTGAGTCAGCCTCATCAAGAATGGAAGAGTTCAAGGACGTCTCTGCGTCGTCTGGTTCTTCCTCTGACGATACCCGCTCCAACGGAAAAAGCCGTGAAGCGTCCTTGGCTGGCATGGGCGTCATGGACGTAGAAGGCGAGCCGTGATTGAACTCGGCGCCTTGCGATGGGCCAAAATTGACTGACTTGGTCGGTGTTGTTTCTGCATTACGACGCTCCTTCCGCGCACTCAAGATACCTTTCAGTGGAGTCCTCAGGCGAGGAGGAGGGGAGAATAGTGAAGGTTTCGGGAGTGGTAGCTCATCAGTAGATTTCTGATTGTCACTTCCAGTTGTTTTGTGCTCCGTGGTCGAGGTACTTGATTCGGTTTCTGAATACTGAGGTGAGTCCACGTCCATACTCTCCATAGTTGCGTCGTTCTGGTCACTGTTTGTGCGAGCACGCTTTTCAGGACTTCCTTTTTGCTTGTCTGAATCGCTCGCACGCTTCCTTGACGCTTCTTCTCCACGCTTATCTGCTGAGTTCATACCACCAGCTGATAGAGAGTCAAATCCGCTATTAAGTATCAATAACCCGTTGGCGTCGATAGTTTGACGACGGTCATCCTGTTGCAGTGGACTGTTTACCAACGTTGAGAACACGTCGCTCGGATCGACGGTCGTTCTTCGCTTAGAGTTGCTCCTTGTAGGAGTTGGTGACTTCCTGCCCTTGGTTTCCTTCGCTAGAGATGGGGACTTCTTGGTCGTAGTTTCCTTCGCCGGTGACGGAGAATCTCTGCTCTTGGACTCTACAACCGGAGTGGGGGTTCTGCTATTGACGAAGTCCTTCAATTGTTTTTCCTCTTTCGACGGCGACTCCTTTGGTGGAGATGGTGATTTCCTATACTCCTTCGGCTGTGATTTTCTGGTCGTCGAGTCCTTGGATGGAGTCGCAGCCTTCCTGTTGTTCGTGAGATCCTTCGCTGGCGATAGTGACCGCCTGCTCTGCTTCGATGGAGTAGACGTCTTGCTGCTCTCTCTCAGCTTCGACTGCTGCGCGTTATCGTCCGAATCAACATCCATCTCCAACGTTGAGCTGCTCAAACTCCGCTCTTCTTTCCGCAGCGCTGCAACCACCAATGCGGCCTCAGTCGGATCCAGCGTGGGCCTCCTCCCTGCATCCTGTTCCAGTAAATTGGGTGCGAACATCGTGTCCGTAAAGCTGTCACTAGTGTTAACCACCGACATGCTCTTCCTGCGATCCACCACAGTCTTCGCAGGTGACGTCTTCTTCGTCGCCGACCTCGGTCGTTTACTCGCCGACGCGGTCTTTGACCTGGTAGATCTGGCAGGCGAGTCCAGTATCTCCTCAGTATCTCTCCTCCTATCCGGAGAGCTCCCAAGCAGCTCCTTCTCCACCTGAAGCAGCTCTGACGCTTCTAAAATGTCCCTAGTCTTGACTGGGCTGCTTTTCTTCTGCGCAGCGACCTTTTCCAATCCACCAGCAGCTTTCATTACTGCCTTCAGCGCCTCTGGACTCACTGTATCTCGCCTGGATATGGCGGCGTCCAGCGCCTCCACGTCTGGTAGCAGCTGCATTGCTTTGCCAGGCGACAGCGTGCGCCGCTTCGATGGCGTCGACGGCGGCTCATCCTCCTCCGACTTCTGCTCGTGCTCTTGTGACGCATCCGAGGGCTCTTCCTGCACTCTGTCAGCGGCCATTTCGCCCAGAATTTCGCGCTGCAGCTGGCGCGTGATGGTATCGCGTCGGTGTGCGACGGGCGGACGCAGCGCGTACTCGGTGTCGTCACCGTCTGCGTCCATGGCCGAGTCCACAATAGTTTTGCCGCGCTTTGAGGGAATTTTGCGTCAGTAATTTTTTCAAAAAGGGGAGGTACGGCACAGTCAGTCAACCTTCAAGCGACATTCATTGAAATGTACTCATCTGCTTAAAGCACTGGCTGTGCTTGGATGCGGTGTGTGACTTGCGTCAGACTCGAACGGACATCGCAGGCACCATGACGGACATGAGCGACGCCAAGGCCCAGCGCAAGGCCGAGAAGAAGGCTAAGAAAGCTGCACGCAAGGCTGCTGAGGCCGCTGCCGCTGAAAACCCTGCTGCGGGGTCGAATAAGAAGGAGAAGAAGCAGAAGAAGCACAAACGTGCTCGTGAGGAGACCGAGACACCCGCCGACAGCCCCAAAAAGCATAAGAAGGAAAAGAAGAAAAGCAAGAAGCGTAAAAACAGCGACGGTAACGACGAGGAGAACGTTGCACCCAGCACGGACTTCTCCAGCGGCCCGTACCAGCAGCCGCCAGCCAAGGACGGCAGCTTTAAGAAGGCTTTCTACACGGAGGGCAAGGACACAGCTAAGATGACCAACGAGGAGGTGGCAGCTTTCCACGAGGCCAATCAAATGATCCTCAGCGGCAACAACTGCCTTTACCGTCCGGTGTTGAGCTTCGACGACGTCACGTTCGAGTCCAAGTTCATGAAGACCACCAAAGGCTTCGACAAGCCCACACCCATCCAGAGTCAGTGCTGGCCTATTCTGGCCTCGGGACGCGACATCATTGGCATTGCCGAGACCGGATCCGGCAAGACGCTGGCGTTCTCCATCCCTGGGCTCATCCACATCGCTGCCCAACCTGAGGTGTCACCCAAATACCCGGGTCCGCGTATGCTCGTTGTGGCTCCGACACGTGAGCTAGCGATGCAGAGTTCAGCTGTGATCTCCGAGGCTGGCAAGAAGTGCGGACTCAAGAGCATTTGCATCTATGGTGGTGTGCCCAAACATACCCAGAAGAAGGCGCTGCGTGACGGTGTGCACGTGGTGGTGGCCACTCCTGGTCGTCTCAAAGACCTGGTGGAGGAACGTTCGTGCAACCTCTCCAAGGTCACCTTTGTGGTGCTAGATGAAGCCGATCGTATGCTGGACGAGGGTTTCGAGAAGGACATCCGCGCCATTATCGGCAGCACACACCCGGAGCGACAGATTGCCATGTTCAGCGCGACATGGCCGCAGTCGATCCAGAAACTAGCACACGAGTTCTTAAACGACCCTGTGAAGGTGACGATCGGCTCGGATGAGCTCGCTGCCAGCCACAACGTCACGCAGATCGTCGAGGTCATTGAAGACCGTGCTCGTGACGCGCGTGCACATGCTCTGCTGCAGAAATATCACTCGAGCCGCAAGAACCGCATTCTTCTGTTTGTGCTGTACAAGAAGGAGGCTGACCGTGTGGAGCGCATGCTGCACCAGCGTGGCTGGAACTGTATCGCCATTCACGGTGATCGCAGCCAGCAGCAGCGTTCAGAGGCTGTGGAGCAGTTCAAGTCTGGTGAAGTCCCGCTGCTGATTGCCACGGATGTGGCTGCTCGTGGTCTTGATATCCCTGGCGTTGAGTATGTCCTGAACTATTCGTTCCCACTGACCATTGAGGACTATGTGCACCGTATTGGACGTACGGGTCGTGGTGGTAAGAAGGGTACGGCCCACACGTTCTTCACCGCTAACGACAAGCCTCGTGCTGGTGAGCTTGTGAATCTCCTGCGCGAGAGTAACCAGGAGGTACCAAAGGACCTGACCAAGTTCGGTACGCACGTCAAGAAGAAAGAGCACAAACTGTACGGTGCTTTCGCCAAGAACATTGATGCCACGAAGAAGGCCACCAAGATTACCTTCGACAGTGACGACGAGTAAGCTGTACACTGTCGACGTTGATAGGTTAGGTACCAGGTAGACACGTGGGGGGTGGGGGGAGTAGAGATCTATTTCGCTGTAGATTGCTTTGATAAGTTGGTTTACTTAAATTTTGCTTGCACAGAGAATCCCTTCTCCATCATAGCAAGTTGCTACTCCTCGTCGCTACTGCTGGAATAGTCCTGAAGCAGCAGTGCCGTCGCAGGGTTGTCCGTCGAAGGTTTCGTCGTTGATGCACTACTGCTCTTTTTACTACTACTACTACTACTACTACTACTAGGTGTCTGGAGGTTGTCGGATTTTGTTTGAACCTCTTTACCTGCGGTGGGATTCTCTGAAGTGGTTCGACTCTTCTTGACTTTGGTCGTCTCCTTCCCACTCGGCGTTGCCTGCCGCTTCTTGGCCTTTATCACCACAACTGATTTCTTCTCAACCGGCAGCGGCGATTTTTTCCCACTGCCAGAAGTAGTCACGGCAATCTCCGTCTTGTGGGCCTGCATCTTGAGGGCGCTAGAGCGGAAGGTCTGCAGCGCTACGACCGCCAACGGTCAGTCTGCTACTAGCAACGTCAACAGTGCGCAATCATCACACTCACCAGCCTGCCGCTCCATTTTCTCCCTGTTCCTGGCTTGCAGCTCCAGATGCGTCTGATCCACGAGGTACATACGATCCGACGGGTCCAGCAGTCCGCGACCACCGCCAAGCACGACGCTCTCGTCCTCCGTGGACACCAATTCTCTCTCCGCCTCCGTGGACGTGTCTACAGTTTCATAGGTAACGCGCTTGGACGCCGAGTCCTCGCCGCTCATCGCCTGCCGCCGCGCCGCATCCGAGCTCTGGTTGGCCGGATGCCACGACGGCACGTCCATCGGTCAGGATACTTTGTCCCCAAACTCTCCATTTCACCCCAAACTGGGTGGATTTTGATTAAACCATTCACCCACCCAAATGGGTGGACCACTCGCAAATTCTGATATGTGCGCAAATTTACCTGCTTTCCTGAATATTTAAATAGGTGCAAATTCACCTGATTCAACACATTTTCCTGTTGAAAAACCTTATTTTATTTTGTACCCTGTCAGAAACGCTCGATACGCTAATCAAGCTGATCTTTTGGTCGAAACGACTTGCTCATCGTGTGCATTTGCCATTCCGCCCCACCTCAATGAAGCTTCTCCTGTCTCTGCTGTCCGCAGCGTTCTGCATCATCGCTGTGGCCGCTGAGCCTCCCGTGCAGCTCAATGGCTGGTATCCGTGCTCGCAGAGCTCGCTGCAAGCCGACGACATGAACAAAGGTCACCCAGATCAGTATTACATGGAGACAGCCAGCGATTCGAATACCCGACGTAGAGCTGCAGCTGAAGTGCAGCAGACCCCGGCATCCTCACTGCCGTTTCTGCAGCAGTCGTTCGACCGTTTATTCGCTCATCACAGCGACTGGAAGCAACAGGGACAGCGAACACACCATCACCACAGTACGCACCATAAATCAGCGGAAGATGCAACACCAGGCATCCCGCAGTACGAGTGTGCTGAATTCCGTGTACCCATGTGCTATGATGGAGTGTGTGAGAGCGATAACACCATAAACGTGTTCGTTAAGCGTGTCAAAGCGACAGGTACGCCCGACGGTCAGAAAGGGAAGGCGCTGTGGGTGCTGCAAGGAGGACCTGGGGCATCTTCGACTGGAGTGGAGGGACTAATGAACACAATGTACTTGGAGCTGGACAGACAGGTCAGTGTCTATACGTTCGATCATCGCGGAACCGGACGCAGTGCCAGACTCGAGTGTCAAGCAGCACAAGCTGGAGCTCTGGGCAGTCCCGGTGGCTCAGCCATTCGACTGGATGAACTGCCCGCGTGTATGGATGATATTCGCTTCCAGGTTGACAACCAGACGGCTGCATTCTCGGTCACTAGCGCTGCCAAGGACTTGGCTGCGATTATCAACTATGAACTCAGCGATCAAGACGTATTCGTGTATGGACTAAGTTACGGCACGTATCTGGTCGAGAGACTGGTACATTTCGCACCAGCGAGTGTGAAAGGGTTCTCTGTTGACGGAATTGTATCAGAGAGTGGAGACACAGTGGAGAAGCGCTCGACGTTCTCCAACTGGGACCACGACGTCGGTGTTGTAGGGGACCGCTTCCTTGCTGCTTGTTTGGCTGAAGATTTTTGCAAGAGCAAATTCCCAGGCGTATCGGATCTCTCGGCCTTCGTCCACGAACTCTATGATACGCTGGATGCTGCTGTAGCTGATGGTAAGAAAAAGATTAACGCCTGTGCTGATGCATTGTCGACGAACGGCAAGAAACCCTCCTATTTGCTCCGTTCTACCTTTGGAGAATACCTCATGTCTGACCGTTTGCGCATCGCGATTCCTGCTGTGATATACCGCGCGTCCCGATGTACCGACCAAGATGCTGATGCCCTTGGTTACTTTGCCGAAGGGGCTGCTTATTCGGAGGACGATGGTGGTTTTGGTGACTCGGAGCCGGAGACGCTGCTTTTTGACTCGGATATGCTTTACTACCTGATCGTATTTTCTGAAATGTGGGAATCCCCCACTCCTGACAAGGCGACGCTGGTTAATTGGTACGAAAACTCGACGATGGCGTCGGATAACTACTTGTCACTCCCGTATTACTGCCTGTTCACTGGAAGCCGTGAACATGCGTGTCAAGAGCTCATTCACCTGCCAATCGCTCGGCCTCTAGTGTACGATCGTGATCAGTACTGGAACAAGACAGGAGAACTCCCTGACGGCGTCACAGCTCTGCTTATGACAGGTGGAATGGATCTGCAGACACGTCGTATGTATGGAGAACTGGAGTATGAAGCGATGAGCGGCGAGCGCATGCTCGTGAACTTTGACGACGCAGGCCATTGCACGACCTTCACGACTCCGGTGAACAGTGGCGGTGCCACCTGCGGTGTACGTATTCTAGCGTCCTACGTGAAGGAAAATGGTGTTTTGAAGAACGTGGACACGAGCTGTATGGATGACCTGAAGCCCATGACATTCTCGGAGGATGTCGTGGACGCGCAAGAACTGTTTGGTACGAATGATCTGTACGAGAGCTCGGGTTCAGATTGGTAGAGGTGAAAGTAGAAGAATGTAGTTAGTATTCCATAGAATTGAACCAGGCCGCAGTTTTCGCTATCAACCCCGTCACGGCCAAGCCACGATATAAATGACTATTTCGGCAATGCCCGTGCAACTTTATCGTTGAGATTCCCAAGGGCATTGAGCACAAGATTGAGGTGAACAATCTTAACAGCAAATAGAACACGAACCCCCATGCGGGTCAAAACAGTACTCCCCGATCGGGTCGTGAAAAAAAATCTTACTTTAGTTGCATACTTTTCATTCCTCGACAGTAATGAGAACTTGCAGCTCATCAGGGGAGCCTTGGCTACTAAGGCGCAGTTCTCGCATCGCCTCACACGTGATGGCACCGAGGGTAATTAGACCCACTACAACTAGAAGGATCACTTCACTCAGAGACCACGGGACACCGACACCATTCCCGCCAGCTTCAGGGTAGTGCAGTTCCTCTCGAGTTGCTGTTGCCTCTTGCTTCTCATCCGTACTCATTTGCACAGTCTCGAGGTTCCAACCATCAAGGCACTTGGTGGTCGACAGCTGAGCGAACCATTTTGCTGCTGGACGAGGGATTCGAGCCAGCTTGGGCGAGGCATTCTTGGTATAATTTACATAATGCAGCCCGAAACGAGGTTTGTACGATCCCCACTCATTGTTGTCCAAGAACGACCACGCCGTGTAGCCAATGACAGGGATCTTTTCCTCCACAACCGCTTTGTACACTTGCTCCACGTATGTTTGGAAATACCAGAGCTGCGTCCAGTTGTCCAATTGGTCATCTCCACACCATCCGTTCTCTGTCAGCAGGATCTCTGCTGCCGGATCCTGGGCATGTAGCCACTTGATGGTGGCCAAGTAGCCATCAGGATAGCCTGAAAACCACGAGCACTCCAGGCTAGGAGCTGCGCGTGCCCCGTTTGGAGCTCTAGTGTCGTCAACCCCCCTGTCGCGAGCGTAACCCAGAGGGAGTTCATCGCAGGAAATTTCCGAGCGCTCCGAGTCGCAGTCGGTCACCACACGCGAATAATAATGATTCAACATCAGGACATCGTACGACCCCTTGACTTGCGTAGCTTCCTCGATAGTAAATTTCGGCAGTCGCTCTCCAACACGCTCGCGCATGATCTCAGGATAATCTCCTGTCACAAGAGGCATCAGAAACCAACCGAGATCGAACTGCATCTTACGCTCCGCGGCTGCCACGTCAAGAGCATTCAACTCGTCCAAGGGGTAGCCGTACTCCGCATTAAGAACGATACTGATGCGAGCACCGGTATCTACCACGTTATTTTCTGCTTGCTTCAACTTACGGAACAGTGCAACCGCTCGTGCGTGCGAACGCAAGACGTTATGAGCGACGGTGTACGTGTTGGAGTCGGATGACTGCATACCACCCGGTGCGGCGTCGCACGAGCCGTAGCCGCCGCTGATGAACGTTAACGGCTCGTTGAACGTGGCCCAGTACTTCACTTTGTGTCCATACTCGTTAAAAGACAGCGTCGCAAAGTCCTCAAAGTGCGTCACAATGTCGGGATTGAGCCATCCGTTGGGCTCTAGTTGTGTCTGTAGCGTCAACGGTAGATCGAAATGGTAGAGTGTGGCAATAGCCTGTATCCCTTTCGCATGTAGATCATTAAGTAGGGAATGGTAGAATGCTATCCCTTGTGGATTGGGCACCATTTTCTTAATCTCGACGTCCCAATTCATGATTCTTGACCAGGAGATGGAGAAACGGAAAGAAGACAGCCCCATGTCGCTCATGCGTTGCACGTCATCAGTGTAGCGGTGGAAGAAGTCGTCGGCTACGTCGGCGCATTGCAGGCCCGCCTGAGAGCGGCAGTAGTCGTCCCAGATGCTCGGTTCACGGCCGGAGTCGTTCCAGGCTCCCTCCACTTGGAACGCGGCGGTTGCCGTGCCGAACAAAAACTCGGGCGGGAAGCAACGCGTCTCAAAGGCAGCAATTGGACAATAGATGCAGCTCAAGAGGCCCAGACATAGCGTGGCGGCGGTGAAGACAGAAGGCCGCATCGGACGGACGCCTTGGCAGGAGGTTCGAGAATGACCGGTTGGTCATTCGGTACTGCAATACCTTCAGCCCATCCTGATTACCGGACGGTTGGGTATACTATCATGTGGGCCACATAAATGTCATCGACTATTGAAGTTTAGATTGTGGACGTTTGTGGACACATGCATGTAGCTACGCCTTAGATCATGTTGGCTTGCAGTAGC